CCACACCTGCTCTTAGTGAGCCTTATGTTCTTTCAACACGACAAGTATGTCTATATTTCGCTCTTCTACACTTTTCCAATCATTCATCTATTTAACCATCTATTGAGAGATCAGGTCCTATAGCCATTCATCCTTCCGTCAGTTAGTAATTTCTTCTCCGCCAGCCTTATATCCGTTGTACCACTAATTTATCTAACAGCGAGTTATTTAGCAAGTAATTTTAATTTATCGTTAAATTGCCAAAACGACCCACTTCTCTTCATCTATATCTTCACCATCCCCATGACACTTATCTATGTATCCGCTAATCCTTCCCTATTCCTATCGAATAACTAGCCCAACATTTCACCCAAACGCCTACCCACTTTCCAGCCTTGTAGCCAGACTTAATGTCTTCACCTTCCTGCCTATTGCATTTTGATTGTCTATGTTGGTTAACCATCCATCCACAGCATCAGCATAAATGGGTCGAGTGAGACTTTCTTCCTGCTGTCTATGAATTGAGTCGGCCAAACAACTTTCTAGTCAGCTAGACAACAATGAAACTGGAGTATTCTCGTTATGATTTTGTTCGCTGAGAGCCGTGCTGCAATACTCGAAAAGACTTCAGGAAGCTGGCCCACCTGCTTGTTCAGGTATCCCTCCTATATATACACATATTTGTACATACCCTTGATAATAGGGCCGATACAACTTGGGATGGAAATGAGGAGAACGTATGTGAGCCAGGTTAAGGGTGAGAATAGATAATATAATGGGCTTGAGAGAGTGAGATCACATATTAACCTCTTGAGATCAAAGCTGATACCAAAGGGCAATGACTGAGTAACAATGGCATTTCCGACCTGCACGCACGAGCGAGAGCGGAAACTAGCTCAAGGACCCCTCATTCATTGATCTCCATCACGTTTAGTGCCATCTTTGCTCAATGAGCTGTCGTTCTGGGCTTTTCTCAGGCGCTGTGGCCGGGCTGTTCTTATACTATCTGGAACAGTGTAAGGCTCTCAAGAGTTCGAGAGCCGACATAAATCGACGCGAAGTCAACGGAAGCAAGCGATTCACCGGGACACTACTGCCCGATCTGTTGACAGTAGTGCTAAGACTGCTTCTCAGTTGTCTTCGGCTGCAAATGGCGTCTTCGCCGCTAACGATATCGTAAGTTTACGTCTGATGCCGCCGCTCCCAAGTTGTATATCGGTTGTAGTCAGCGTGAACTTATTTTATCTTTCTACTTTGTGGATAAAATAAACAGAATGCCAGCCCTTACCTGCCAGCACTTCTTTTAGACGAAAGAGAGACAAATCCCTTATAGCGCCCTTATGCACAAGTCTGGTAACTGTCTCCAATGGGGAAAATGCCTCAAGACATGGCCATCGAGGTTTTTTGTGCCGAGTAAGTTGAGCAAGCGGTGTTTCTGGTGAACAATGCCAGAGCCCTGAGGGTAGACAGCGGTGTGTCCAAGGGTCTGGAATCAGCAGTGAGTTGGGACTTGTGGTCTAAGACTTTTTAGAATGTCAAAAAACGTTACACTCCACATTCACCTTACATTTCCGAGTGTCAGAAGTTGGAGTCTTAGGAGTCAGTCGTTTACTTCCCCAAAGCAATAAATCTTGCCCCGGCGACGTGTGGGAGCCGTCAGACAGTAACGGGAAAGCGAAGTATGTTGATCGGGCGGGGCAGCAGAGAGAAACGACCAAGTGTATTACATTTTATGACGTTGATTTCAGAGGCAAGCTGTTACTTTCGCCGCCAGTGCATGTCCACAACGTGCATTTGCTGTCGTCTTGCCTCAAACGACCCTTAAAGAATTGTTACAGGCCTTTGGTATGTCTGAAAAAGCTCGATTGGGCTCAGGAAGTTCTGCTTCCTTCAGGAGATGAATGCTGGTAGCAGGTTGTGCAAAGAGTTTTACTGTATGAAGGAAAGTGAATCACTGAAAAATACTTCCTTGGCGGGTTTTGCAAATGCACATCTCTACCAGATAGGGCAAACTCTGGTTTCCGGCTTTTCGTATATCTGACAAAATAAGCCTTTTCAGCGGAGTTTCCCAGAAATAGGTCCGTTACTCGGTGCTTCCTTGTGAATACACCCCAGCAAAGCAATCAGAATTCGGGGGAGGGATGGTCACAACTCAAATTCAGTAGACGATGTGTTCTGGCGCCATTAGACGTTCCCCAAAACATGCCTTTTAATTGTGACATGACTGTCCATTTCGAAGGAAAAGTTGGTTGGGACGAATTCGTAATGTGGTATCACCGGAAACTGAAGGAGTAACGACTGTTTTGTTGTATTGTGTGAAGTCGTTGGCTCACCATCCTGCGACCCCGATGGAACTCTACTAAGCTTTCGTCTTTACTGTGGCAGACATCATCAGAGCAGGAATCCATACTTCACTAAATAAAGCAAAAATATACTTAACCAAGATAAAATGTAGCCAACTGCAACTCTAATAGCTTTTTCATACGCCTAACTTCGCGATCTTACTGGGGCATCCCATGATTTATTTGGCTACTTCAAGGTTACTCTACAGGCTTGAAAATGAATGAAGTTACTTAACGAACCGTAAGTGCAGCTGTTTCCTTACACGAATAAAGTAGTATACGATCCCCAAATGTTGATTGATGTTTGGGTTTGTGCTTTTGTCTTTGGTGTGTATGTAATGTTCATGCCATGGGAAGTGTGATATTCCGAGCTAGACTCGAGGGTAATCCAGCCTCCTCTTGTCCAGTGGCCCTTCCTGCTCTTCCTCTCTCTCCTTCTTCACAAATCTATTCAGCAGTCACAAATAATTCCTACTCAATTTTCTATACTCGTTTCTCCTATTCAGGACGTTCTATAGACTCCCCAATCTTACTTATTGATGTGAAGTTCCCGTAACCCACAGAACGTTGTGATTTGAACTAGCCTATTGCGTGTCCTGTGTTGGGCATGCGTTCTTGAACCCATAAACCTTTACACCTGGTTTTGTGTTCGCATAGTCTCTTCTGGATGGGTCGGCAGGTCTCCCCCCCATAGACCTTACCAAATAAACACAAAACGTACTAACAA